TTATTTAAACCAACTGTTAACTGTATATTTCTGTACATTTAAGTATTATTATTCATATTGCCGCATTCATTGACCTTGTTTATAGGTAATTTCATTGTTTAATCACATTAAATTGTTCCTAATTTAATGTTTAAAAGCACTTGAAAAAGGCAAAATCCCATGTAAAATTAGGGCAACAAACTGTATTGTCATTACTGAAAATAACCGTATTTTCATGGAAAAGTTATTTTCTGTTATTTTATGGTATTATTTTGGCGCCCCAGCTGCCAGAATATTACTGTTCTATTCTCATGGGGCACCTTAAATACCAGACATTAACCAAAACATTTGATAGTGGAAAAATCTGCATCAGTCAATAAACTGGTACATTTTTTACTGATATGGTTTAACATCTTAGTTTTAAGGAGAAATATATATGAAACAAAAATTTGATGCTTTTTAATTGGTACCTGTACGAGGATGTGGCCTGCTATTGGGAGGTTGGTTTCTTCTACAATGCAGAGTTTCTGGATGAGTTTCTGTGCCACACATATGAAGTTTTTATCCAGCAATATTCTGAGGATTTCAGCGTTTCCAGAGAGAAATTTCAAAGATCCAACACAATATAGGATTGCTTCTCCAGATGCAGACACATGTTCATTGCTTAGCATCCTCAGCAATGAATCTAGATACAGAAAATATTTGATGTTATCATCCCTATGGAGATTCATGCATCTATAAGACATGCAGTCATATTTGTTCACAAAATTTCAGACCAGAGTTACAGAATAGATAACCACTATATTGTCTACTGTTCCATCCTGACCAATGACTGAGTTGTTCTGGAAGAGGATGTCGTTGCTTTCAGTGCGGCTGATCTGGAAGATGAGTTTACAGATGTTGAGCAGGTTGTTTCCACTGACGCACAGCTGGGGAGAAAAATACAAAAGAATTCACATAATTGTTTGTATAACATAGTGGGGGTGCTTTGTGACAGAGATAAGTAGCAGACATGCTGACATGCACACACCCCCGCAGACAACCTTGCAAACTCACAGATGACTCACAGCAAGGCACAGCTGGGCAATGTGCATGTTGAGCTGGGCATAGTTGAGGTCAATGAGTCGGAACAGTGTTCGAAGTATCCCTGACCTCTTCTTACAGCGCCGACCGAGCATGTCCGCCTCTGCCAACGTGCCGTGGAGGCGGTCACACAAATCACACAGGCGGTCAACCGAGCCCTCGGAACCACCTTGCATTGCAGGCAGAGCACACACATTTCAAAAAAACAAAGTCAAGTTTAGGACAGCATGTGCAAAACTCACAATAAGTGCAAACATGTATTTGTACAAATATAGATCAGAGATCTGTGTCTTGTGTCTTTCATTTTGTACATTACACAGGCTCTCCTGTTCGTGTGTGGTTGCGAATCAATAATCCTTTGGTCAGCAGAAAATGAACATTTTCCTTCCTCTTCCAAGAAGCAGCTTTGGATTTCATTGGTAATATGCAGGGGAACAATTCAACGACAGGCAGCTGTGCTCTTTAGCGGAGGAAGAGAAAGGGTGGAGTTTTTCCTTGTTTTCGAGGTAAAATAAATGTTTCCCCAGCATAAATAGCAGGGCCTGGCCATGTCTAAAAAAGGTTGGACCCAGTCTAACACTCAGCACTTCACTGCCATATCTCTTTCTGAATCTGAAAGGTGTTTTATGCATGCACCAGAAGGCCCTTGGTACAATAAATATTTAATATTTATCTTCCAAATGAATTTTCCATTAAATTTGTAAAATGTTAAAATATTTACAGCCATAGATTTAATTTTACAGCTGTCAGACTCCAGTTGCAGGCAAGACAATTCTGTATGAAGGCCAAGCATAACATTACTCTTTCTTTCTTTGGCAGCTAAAATGACAGTACTTTTTCATTTTGTGAGACTATGCATGACTATCTGCCAGTGTTGAAAAATCTATTTTTCAGCCTGCTGGCTGTATATAAAAAGTGCTCTTGAAACACAGGAAATAGGTATGAATATGAGAAGGTTAGCACAAATAAAAAGATAAAAATAAGTGCCTTAACCACAATCCACTTTAGATTGGCTCTGGAAACATTCAGGCCCAAAGGGTTATATATAATATTTTGATGATTTGAATGCATTTGAATGTTCTATATTTGGACCGTGTTTCGGGGGTTTCTTTATTACACTGGCCACAATACCTGCAGCCACACTCTCTAGTTTCTGAAGGAGAGGAACGATCACATTATTCCACATCAGTGACTCTGCATCCTCCTCCGTGTTGCCCTTGTTGTCTCCACACTCTGGCTCTGAAATGTGCAGAGAGAATTGCAGTTAGCCAATTACCACCTCAGAAAACAAAAGCGACAACCACAGTTCACAAGTTCACAGTCTTAAAATATAACAGCAGGAAGTTTGATGCCACAGTGAAAAGGTCACCATCCACAGCTAGACTTCCTCTGATTTGTCGGCATGTGGGCATGTGAGCTTGCGCACGTTAACTTGTGCAATCTCTTGCACACAGTGTGCCTGGTTTTTTTTGCTGAATATTTGCATAACCCTGCTTGGTGTGATGCAGGAAGCTGCGGCTGCACGAACCAAAACTTCTCTAACCTATTGGCTGACTGCCTGTCATGGTAAAACTTGCGCCCTTAGCAACAACACCCCAATCAAAGTTTATTTCTGTTGCATGTGAAACCTTTCTGGGCTCAAGAGTAAACAGAGAGATTTCATATTTAGATCTGTTTGTACTAATTTTGCTCTACGTTGTGCCTGAGTGAAACCAAGTACATTTCTACTTTTACACGCTGTAAAAAATGTAGCATTTGTGTTTATTATGCACAACACCATACAAAACAAGACAGTGAGCTTCATTTAGTGGATGTGAACAAACCTGTTGTGTTATCTTCCTTGCAGTCTTTGGGTCTTACTCCTGAGTCCACATCACTCTGCACTATTCTGAAAAACACACAGAGCCTGACTATATAGGGTTTAGGAAAATACACAAATAAGAGTTACAATGAAGAGGCTCTAGGGGCTCTGGCTCTTAAAAAATAAAATATATATTTATTATTATTATTTATTTATGTTTTGCTGATTTTACACCCTGTGAACAAAACGTAAGGTCTATTTTCATCAACAAGCACTGGGTGTCACTGTTGCAACAGTGATTGAAACGTGTATAGGCTCCACTGCTTCACTGTATTTGTGTATCTGTGCATGTACATTTTCACCCATGCAGATATGTGTGTATCCGAAAGTTTCTGTGTGACCACTTTTTAATTTTAATTTTGTTTGTTTGTCTAGAGGTGTGCTGCTTTGCAGGATGCACAACTGCAATCCCCAACAGACAGGAACTAAGATCTCAGCTTTGTGGGCAGTCTGGTTAAAGGTGTTCATGCTTTGTCACTGCGAGCCGTCTCCAAAACCTTACAATTTGTTCTGCAATAACCTTACGGTTACGGTCCCAAAAACACGCCCAAGTGTCATGCTGTGTTATGTGTTGTGGCTCGCCCTTGCATGTCACTCTGATCTGAGTGTCTGCATTTAAACTCTGCACTGTTCCACCCACACTCAAAGATAATGACTCAGTGCTCCAGTATATTCTATATTACATGACAGGTGCCGTTTCTTATGACCAATTAATACCTAATGACTTTCTGTAACTGTAAGATTTACTGCAAAAAGCACACAAATATGTAAAGAGGATCTCAGCTTTAAAAACATTGAAAGGTGTAACCACTCCTGTAGAAGACAAAAACAAGGACTGAAGCTTCTGTAATATCACAGGTTAACTCTCAGGATTTGTTATTTCTTTGAACTTTTACACACAAGTGACAGATATGAGATTTGGCAGCTATTATCTTTTCATTTCAATGAAGAATCCTCAAAAGAAGCTTGTTTGATGCTCTTTGATTAATATACCGTTTTGGGGCATTATAATATAGCACACTCACCTTGGTGATTTGATGAATGTTAAAATCTGGCACATGGGGCATATGGAGTAGGGAGTGCTGGCTAGGGTATGCTACAGTGAATGTCAGGGGGCTTTAGCTCTGTATGATAGGATTAAGAGCCAGATAATAAGGGCTCTTTGTGTGATTCGGCATTCTCGGAGACATGACCTCATCCCTCTCTTAGGCCTGGCCAGTGCACTGCAGTCACAATACACGCTGCTGCCAGTCTTGCCCAGATGGGCACCCAAATCTAATAGAGAGCCATTTGGAGCTATAGAGCTCTGGCTTATTGGAGAAAAAGAACCTAGTGGATGTCTAATCTCCCCTATCTTTATATCTCATCCAACTCATCATATTAATCTGTCCAGCTGCGTCCATTTCCACTTGCAGTGTGCTTCTGCCTTGGCTCTATGTGATTTTTCATTGTTCTCCTCTGTCTAATGTCTCTTTTATGTAGTTCCTTGCAACACTAAAGAACTGTGCTTTAAAAACTCTGACCTAGAAAGACTCAAAAAGGGGAAGTCTTCAAGCCCATTTTGTGTAATAATAACGTGACCCCGGTTTTCTCACTTGGGACTTCTCTTTGTCAGCAACAAGTTATACAAACATAGCATGTTAACTTGGTATTAGGTAGGAGGTTGAGCTTGAGGCCATGGCCCAGATTTCCTGTAAAAGTGTTTTATGGTCTGCTCACCCCCCTTCAACTGCCCCACCCAATCGATAGGCAAATGGATTGTAACGACAGCCCCCGACCTCACGGTCAGAGTTATGCCCCTCGTGCTGACACACAGCTGATGAGGTCGGCAAAAAAAGCAGAGCTTTTAGCCTCTGTGCACTATGGAAATGTAAAAGCTGACATTTGCTAGTAATGACAGATAGAGACAGTTTTGATGGGAAGAAGAAGCTCAACTTGACCAAGATACGGTGTACAGTGATGTATATGAGGGTTTAAAAGGGGTCGCGTGCCTGAAGTTAAAGAATTCATTCTATCTATTTGTTAGTGACCCCACTGCTGGTGTAACTGACTTCAGCTATCCGGCTACAGTTGAACATATGAACAATGGTTGGCCGCGGGTCAAGCAGACGTTTTAAAATCCTTTTACTTCGGAATAAGTTCACGACAAGTTTAAAAGTAATAGTCCCTACTTTTAACTTATTGCCTCATTTACATTTTTCTGCATACAGAAGAAGTATTCTCCAAGAGATCACAATTTTTAGAAAAGTAAAATACAAAAAATCCTACAGCAAAATAAAAATACTGATAGTTAGTCCTTGTAGAATTTAAAAGACATGTACTGACAGTTACAGGGATGGGCATTTAGGTACAAAATAAACAACTATACTCATATCAGCTTTACTGACGTATTTGCTGCTTTGATCCTCTGCCCAGTAGTCTGGTTTACTTATGAACCACAACCCAAAGACAATATAAGGAAAAGAGGAAACAAAGCAAGGAGGAGAGGGAGAAGGATTTGACAAAAAGCAAAAAAAGGGAGGCCCAAACAGCTCAGTGTAGTAATGGCTACCCCTGCACACTTGCATGTCAATAAATCTTAAACTCATTGTCAAACTGTCATTACTGTTAAAGTTTGGGAGGGTGGAAGGGTGGAGAGCGAAGGACATAATGTTTCTTCCAAGTGAAACAGAAGAACAGAAAGCGTACCTTTCACTTGCTGCTGTGTGAGGGCCAGGTTTGACAGGACCACTGTAACCTGCGGTGTGGTCTGTACTGGAAAGTTGCTTAGCTGACAGCTGCTTTTGTCCTGGGCCTGCATTCAGTGGCTCTTTCACTGAACACGTGGAAAAGATGTGGCAAGAAGTTATTTATAGCAACGTTTCTATTTCCTTCATTAGGTAAAAGTACAAATCCCTATTCATACACATTAACACAGTGCACATATACAGTAAATGTATACAGATAAAGGGCTAAGTCAGTCTCCATTATCTGTTTTACTGCTCTAAATAGCTGAGCAGTTTTGTAGGGAAAGGTTTGAGAGTGAGTAGTCATTTTCCACTCAAAACAGCAGGCGTATATTATGCTTTTTACCAAGCCCCACCACAGAGAATATAAATCAGGTAAAATGTCAGCATGTGAATGGCTCCATTCATTCCCCTTTCAGAAAACTGCTTCAGCACTCATGTCTATGCAGGACACGGAGGAAAATGAATGATGTATTGTTGTTGTTTTTTTATTTATCTGGTACATATTAAACAGTTCCTAATAAACTGGGTTACTAGCATTTCACAGTAAGCACAGTAAGGGTGCTTTTTTTTTTTTTTACTGCGATCTCTTGTACCGTAAGTTGAGCTTCATTAACATCTTTTCTCCCCTTCTTTACCATTTCGGTGTCCTTCTAAAGGCGGTAACCTGGTGAGAGATCCAGGTCTGAGGAGGCGTGCCCGTACTCCTGCCCCTGCCAGCCCCCTACGCGGTTTCACTGGGCTAGTAGGAGGTTTGGGTAAGGCTTTGAATGGATCGTCAGCATCACAGGGGACTGAAAACTTTGGCTTCTGGCAAAGCACAAACATCAAGCGCTGAGTATTAGCCAGAGGAAAAATTCACTTGAGACATCAGCACTTTTATAAGCAGAGAAATTTCATTGCATTTATTGCTTCCTTTGCATTTGTTTTTTAAAACTTAAATGCTATTTAATTAGCATATTTAGCATATTTAGCTGGTGCACAGAGGTGTACTGGCCTATTATCCAATTTATTGCTTTGCTTTACAAATTTATTTATCCATTGAAGATTAGAAGTGTACATACTGAAAATTGACCCTTATTCTGGGATAACCTTCCTGCTTAGACTACAATGCATATTGTGTGTTTATGTGTGATAAGAACATACATGATCCAAAGGAGAGAGGCGAGTCCCTGAACCTGGCCTGGAGTCTGAAGCATCAAAACTTTGAGCATGAAGGCTACAGAGTAAAAAAAGACCCCAACAAAAACAAATGATTACTTTCATCGGAACCACAGTTTAATTTAAATCTTCACAGAAGTGCCATTTCTGACTAACCTAAAAGCAGAAGGTGGTCTGTTGTCACGAATAGAGGCGCTCCCAAAAAGTTGTCTATGTCCATCTCTGGGAGTAAATGGCCGGTGAGTTGACTGAACTCGTAGGGACTGTCTGACCTCATTTACTATCTCTGCACACGTTTTCCTCAAAGCGTTGCGCCGGGGCATCAAGGGGCTGCAGATCTCATGTTTCGTCTCTGTAGAGGCCATATAGGCCTAACTGACATGTGTCAAGAAAGTCCACTGATGATTAAATAATGTCATTATATGTATAGATACAGGGTGTATCACTAATGGATACCCAGAGGTACATGTTACCTTAAAATGAACAGTAGGTGTAAAAGAAGCAATGCAAAATCACCCTAAAGCCTTGTATTCAGTCTCACTTCAGTAAAAGTATGGAGACAAAATGTAAAGCATCAACAGCAAAAGCAGTAATTACCACAGCACAAGGATCCTCCTTACTGGATTATTGTTATTATAAAGCTCCCTGTTATTTTATAAATGAATCGGTTAATTGGTGAATTAATAAAAACATCAGAATAAAATCAATGATTCCCATGAAAACTGGCCCATGCTGATAAACTGAAACACTTTCACTTATACATAAAAAAACTAAATGGAGAAAAGAAAAACTTAAGAGCTTAAGGGAAACTAATTTTAAGCCACCTAATTAGCTAAACCATAATTGTTGTTAAATTACAAAATTCACACTAATTGTTTCTGCTCAGCTAAATGATCAGCTCTAGATTATCATTAACACTTCATCATATTTTATTAGACTATTCATTTTGTGTGTCCAATCTAGTACACACAAAGTAGCTAGAAATATCAGATGAATCGTAAACAACAGAACAAAAACCTGCAATCTAAAGTGAAATTTGATGAAGTAATTGTAAACCGCAGGATTAAAGGTAAGTAATCTGTAAGACATACCTTAAGAGTATACTGAAGTAGCCTAATAGCAGACAAAACCGCTATCAGAAGTGCAGATGGAACCAGGAAAGTACTAAAGTAGAGTTTTTGGTTTTGTTTAGTCTTCTGTGGTAGACTATACATATAAATATATTTACAAATAAATTATAAGTAATTAACTTTAAGATAACCTTTCCCTGAACCTAAAGACAAGCCCTGAGCTGGAAGTTCCTCTGCGCGTTCACGCTCCGTCTCCATGGCGACAAAGTGCCGCTATGGTAGCTTGAACAACAAACCCTGGAAAGAAAATAAGCTAAGCATTCACCAAAGAATACTAAACTGTTTATTTATCCCTGTGAGAGCAGGAAAACCGAGTTATTTATTATGAATGAAAGCCTGAACATTAATTAAACGGTTATTGAAGAAAGCTGGAGCACTTACCGTTCGCCCCCTTTAAGGTCCACTAGGGGTAACAGTGGGGAAACGCATCAGTCGAGCCCTTAAAAAGTGGGATTTCACGGCCAAAAGAAAAAGGCAGCGATACCTGAAACTTGCTAAAACTGTTCTCGTTTTTGACAACAAGCTAGCCTGACGGTATCACGTGCACGAGCTCCAGTGAGTGCCCCTCTCTCTCTCTCTCTCTCTCTCTTCTCTCTCTCTCTCTCTCTCTCTCTCTCTCTCCCTCGCGACACGGTGACGCGCCTGCGCATGTTAGGAAGGAAACTGAAGCAAACGCGAGTTTCACTCAGAAATGTGAGGACATATATACATCAGTTGTTACAAGTTTTCCTAACTTAACACGTGCCAATAATTGGACTGATAAGTACAGTGAATTAACTAATGACAGAGGAAACTTGAAAACAATCAAAAGTATTTTATTTATGCAGGTGTTGCAGCTGGGAAAGCTGTGTGGATGCAAGCTCTGGCCCTGGATTGAAGACCTGTACATTCTTGTATGTATTTTCACTTTATTTTAGTTGCTACAATGAGGACATTAATATGCAGAGGCACACAAATGGGAACTGACTAATATAGCAAGATACTGATGGACATAAACCACACTATTTAACTACAATAGAAAGCTTACACTTTTAAAAAAAATGGTTTGGCCATTTGAATGAAAAGAGTATCAGTATTGCTTAGTATTCTTAATAGCATTTGCTATTAGTGTTATTTTTAACCTATTCTGCTATCAAGAGCATTTTCAGTCCTTTTTAATTCCCAGATAAAAGGCCTCTAAGATGACACTTCGTGTTGAAAAATGAAACTTTTTTTCCCCATTTAACTACATTAAAAAAATATTGATTTATGCATTTATAACTTATCCGATATTCTAATCTATATAAACACTGATTAGGAAAACAGATTTTTAAAACCATATCACACACCCATCACATATCCAAAGCCCACAGATTGCAATATCTACACTTTCACAGTGCGCAGTGCAAGCATTTCTTCATATGGCAGCATATGACTGCATATTACTATACAAATGTTTTACAGGTAGCTGAATCTCAGCTGCTTCTACAATTCTGCTACATTTGTTTTTTGTGTATCCATAATTTCATAAAGCTGGCAATTGTTACAAATCAGCACAGAATAGAAGTCATCAGTGCTGCACTCTAAAGAAGATTTCACAAAGTGAAGCATAGCAGATCCAACCAACAGTGTAACAGTGTCAAAAACAGCTAAACTGTTATGCTAATTTCCACTAATAATTGTTTATTTGGTTCTCTGATCACTATTTGGGTACCTTCAATGTCTGTAGTTTTCTGTTTTTGTGGCTGAGCTGTAGTAGAGGCCAGTGGTTATAGTTTTAGTTCCCCCTCTCACTCGTGTAAAAGTCACACAGGTCATCTATAATCCTGTAAGCCAGATGTCTTGTTCTCTCAGCCTATTGCTCTCAGCGACACAGATTGACAGCAGTATACACTAAATAAGAACAGTTTGTTGTGTAACGAAAACTTCATTTCAGTTTTATTGAACATTACAAAGTTTGATCCCAGAAAAAATGCTTAAAAACACACAGAAACAAAAAACATTGGCTCATTATAGAATAAATAACAATCATATATTAGCAATATCCACAAATTATTTTCTTCTGCAATGTAAAAAAGTTAAAATATTCACTTCTGGCTAAGTTTGATTCGTTTTTACTGTCAACGAGATTGTCAGAGTCCTCCGCCATTTTGTAGTTACACAAAGCGTGAAGTTTCAGAAAATAAATAAATAAAAAATGGGAGGACCTAAAATGGCCGCATACTTACGCGGTGCTCATCAGCAAGAGTTTCACTCACACTTGTGGTCCACTGCAAGTTGGTCTTTAATGTTGGTCCCTGAACACACCATAAAAGACCAATAACTGGCTGTCCTCCTGACACACCGGAGTTGTACATGGGAAAGCGACCTCCAGCCTTTACTCCCTCAGTCCATTCGAGTTAGCCAAGCTATCCCCGCACTCTCTCCAAGCTTCATTTACTGCAAATGAAGCAGAGTGGAAGAAGGATTTGATCAATATTCATAGGAAAATTCAGAGTTCAGGAGGAGTACATGGTGCCGAAGTTCATTCATTCAACTCGCGCTTCGCTCTGGGTCTCTTTAACCTGTCTAAGATGGGCTGACCACTTTAAACACCAATCAGGACTGTCTGGATTTTCACATTCATCCACTCGTAAACCTTTTCCCCCTGGCTTTTTATTTTTTACACAGTGAAATATACATCTGAACAATCTTGTGAGTCCCTGGTTGGATTTAAATAGCCTTACATGCTTCAGTCTCTTGGATACAGTGAAAACGATTGGCCAGGAGTGCATGCTGTGCATGCCCAATCACAGGGCATCACCAAGGAGCCTGCCAGCCAATGGGAGGAAGAAGATGGTCTCTGTGATTTCATTGTCACTAAGGGAGGGGGGTGAACATGCTGCCAGGACAGTTGGTGCAAACATGCTAAGCAGTGGACTCTATAATATTCAGAGTGTATATGTCTGAGATAACCTGTGGAGCCAGATCAAGAGTGTTGCCAGGAGAGAAGAACGCAGGGCGGGACTAAGAAGCTCCCCTCAGCAGGATCAACACAGTCCCTACACAGTGCAAACGAACTCATAGTACACCCACGTCACTGTTATCGGTGCCGCTCACGTCAGGAATGAATGGGCTGATTTGTGAGAGCTGTCGTCCTGCTTGAAAGTGGCGTGTCTCCTTGGCAACCAGCTCCATCTCTGTCCAGGAGCTTAGACTGACAGAAAGCACTTAGCTCTTAGGACAGGAGCTTCTTCAAGCTGCCATTCATTCAGCTCTCTTCATACTTTCTTTTCACATATTTAATCCTAATAGTTTTTTTTCTTCTTCATATTTTTTTTCTAAACTATCTGATCTCTTGTTTGGGCATTGACTTATTTTGTGGTCTTTCCTCTGTACACCACCACAGTGGTTTTTAAATTAAACTGTCAGGATGTGATTAAAGTGTAGACTTGGGGATAACAAAAGTATTGCTTTAACTACACAGAAGTTACCCCCATTTTTATACATAGTTTCCCTTTTTTCAGAGGCTCAAGCAATTTTATAGCCAGGTGAGGCCTGTTCAGTTGTTATTCAATGTGAAGTGTTGAACTTGCATGTAGTAGCTGTTCACTGGGACTTTTAGTATGAGTTCCAACGAGATGTTAGTTTAAGGAAGGCGATCAAAAATCTGATACCTTCTTTAAAGGAGTAAATGCACTAACCAGATTAGCAACATTAAAAGGCCATAAGACAACTAGAGTGGATGATGACAGAATTATTTCCGTGGTTAAGACAACTTAAAACAAAAACAACATCTAAGCAAGTCAAGAACACTTTGGAGAGTTTAGGCATATTACTGTCAAAGTCAAGAGCCTCCTTCATGAATGGAAACACAGAGTGCTTACAACAAGGTGCAAACCACTGGTTACACTCAAGAACAAGTAGGCCTGATTAAGCTTCTTCTAATATCTAAAGCTTTTGTTAAACACCTTGAATCAAAGATTTTAAATTTAGTGATTGTAAAATCCCTTTCACATTATGACCTCACTCACACTACTTTTTTAAAACCTACTTGAAAACCTATTTTCATTCTTTGACATTTAAATCCGTGTTGTATTATTCATTTTCTTCTAGCTGTAGTTTGGTCAGTGCCAGATCTATTTAAACATGCTTATAAATAAAAAAAGTAAATTGTATGTTGTATATTCTGGGTATAAAAACATTTTTATAAACCAAAAAAAGGTAAGGTTCCGATTGCCTTGGTTTGTTTTCCACCCTAAATGTTTCAGAGAAAAATAAGCACTCTGTGACTGTGGTATTCTTGCTTCCCAACAGCAGTTACCTCAGTTGCATTGCTTCTATGTTGAACTGGAGACATTGCATTGGATAAGTAAAGCCAACGAACAAGTGCTTTAAACCCGAATCCTTTTTAATGGCCAGCAGGAGGCGATACTTGTCGTTGACTTGTGATTGTGTGGTAGCCTTTTGGCTCCCTTGCGCAATGACCTCAGTAAACACTTTCATGGCAACTTTATGGGGTTAACTGCAGTTTCAGGTCACATTAAATGAAACATTAAGTTTATTTTATAAATTGTGTCCAGTATTTGAGTAAAAAAAGGACTATTATCTAGGTTATGCGTATGACAAACTGATGAATAGCCAATGAGCACACAGCCAGAGACATGCCTTGCACCTCATATCACTATGATGGCTACTGTGAAAATGCTTAGCTCAACCGTTCAAAACCGGACTTTATCAACCACTAAGTGGCGTCATGGTGGCTACGTCCAGCTTTTATACTGTCTATTGTCCCAAGCTCAAGCAGCCAGAATTGCTCACTATCTAACATTCTTTCTTTTTTAATATCTGCCCTTCTTATAACTTTTGAATCAGCTTTTCAGTATCCATCAAGTATCCATCTGAGTAATGCTTTTATGAGGCAGCAGGTTGCCATTAATAGCATGACAAAAATCAGCAGTGAGTTATTCTAAGGTTTTGTTCGTAGTCAGCAGCTTCTTTGTTGCTGACAGGCGTAATAATTGTGCTCTGACATACTTGACTTTTGAGCACCATTGCCAGTAAAAGATTAAAGGTTCATCATTTTGTCCAGTCATAAGATCTGTGATAAAGCAGGTTATTTCAAGAAGGTGTATTTTTTGCACATTTTAAAGAAATATAAAGAAAGGAATATTTTATTTTATATTACTTGATCAGTCTTTTTTAATTCTTTTATAGTAAAGCATACTCTAAATAAATATGTAGCCATTTAATTGTGTCTAGATGCATATACTGTAGGCAGCAATGGAGCAGCACTTTTGTGCATGAGGCTGAGGTGACTTTCTGCACTTTCCATCTGAAGCTGAAGTGGGCAGAGAGCCAAACATCCCTGCTGCCTGTTAGGACACTTGTACACAGAAATTCAAATAAAGCAGACATGCTGGGCAGACAGCCGCTGTCTTATCACTCATCTCTTTTTGTGTGCATGGAAAATAAAATATCCCACACGCATGCTCTTGTATTCTGCATAAACAAGCCTCACCCGGATACTGATGTTTTGAATGCTCAAGATATTTTTGGAGGACAGATGGTCTTATGGTGAACACACCTACTAGCTTTCACACCACTAGCATCAGATGATAGGCTATTTATCACTCTAAAATCTGTCAGGTTAATATGAGGCTAATAGCAAACTAGCATGGCAATGGTTCTTCCAGACTTCACTCATTTTCTTTTATTTGTTTAATAAGTATCAAAGCCATGATAAGCTGTGTGCTGCATGCACATGAATGTAGATCCATATTTATCATACACATAAGCCAGTGGTTTTGATTTTCTCATCCAACTCTTGATATGAGCAGGTTTACCTTTGAAGAGTAGAGTTATCTGAAGGCGAGAGGAACTAGTTTTTGTTTCGCCTCAGATTACCATCATCCTGACAAATCCCAGTGAGGCGTATCCATCTCATTTAGTATGCTAATCAAAATGTGGGCTGCTCTGCCCTACCTTGATGAAGCTTATATCTTGTTCTATGAATAGATATGCGGCTGAGTGCTGACCTGCCGCCGCGGTTCACCGTGTTCCTTCCCTGCACCGGTCCTCGCAGCACTTTTCAACAAGGCCATCTGACCACACATGAAGATTTTTCAAATGCACACACAGTGACTGACTCATTCTAGCATGGCAGACTTCTTTTTTTTTCTTTTTAGCTGTGTCTCTTGTGATTAGGGTTTTAAAAAGAAGAATTTAAAAAAAAATCAGTTTAAAAAGTGAGCATCAGGATGTCAGTTTGGCACTTACAATAGGCTTTTCACAACAAGCACCACTGAGGCTGGTGAAGGCCATCCATGCCTGCTCCGGTCTTTAGCAGATTCTGTCCTTTTTCAGTCTTTGGTGTGCTCACCAGGGTCACATCTTTGAATTTATGTTTGTGTGTCTTTTTGTATGTGTACTACAATAACTAACCTTGTCCTTTTCACTTGAAAGGCTTTTTGCTAACCGATGGTGCAATTATGCTCTTTCATAAGGAGTAAAGGAAAGAAGAAATGGTGTGTCAGCTTTTAAATTTCCATTGCCACTCCTATCATACAAAATAAGTTTCTGATCTGCTGTTTTTGTGCTTGTGACTTATAAGTTGCTTGAATACCTTAAATTGAAACAAAGTGTTAGTTATCCTCTTTTTTTTGTCGGCTTATATTCCTAGTCCTAGAGACTCTGGACCTTATTAGTAGCTAAAAAAAAAAACCTTATTGAATATCAATTTACTACTGTGACACATAGTAAGTTTTTAAAACCTTTAACTTCAGTATATAGCCCACTGTGTTGTGTTAAATTAATAATTTTTTGAAAAAGAAAAAAATATACCTCTGACATACTTTACGAAAAATATCTGAACCTTTTTGTGTTGACTATTACGTCCTATAGAGACCAACACATTTACATTACAGGTCTCCAAAAACCACAGATTCAAAATACATGAAAAACTGAACAATTTGTTTTGCTGTGTTAACTAATAAAAGTAAAAATTACACAGATAAAGAAATAAAATGTGTTCAGAATTTACAAGTTGGTGATGATTCAACTCATGACTCATTAAGCACCATCAGTATGTTGCATAATGTAAAGTTGTTGGCCCACCACTTGATCGTGTGCAGCCTATAATATCTAAAGTGTATTATTAACATATGCTTTTGGTCACTTCTGTATTTTGTTACTTTCATTAAATATTTTCCTTATATGCTGTCATAAAAAGGTTTCACACCTTTTCAAGTACAGAAATGTAAAAAACTGTTTTCATGGAAGTGAACGTCCAGTCATTTTTCTCCCAAGGTCAGACTGTGTAATGCTCAGAGGATTTAACCCCCACCTCCCCAAAAAAGCCCAAGAGCCACATTTCAGTCTCTAACTACCTTCATTTAGGTCAGATTATTAATTTAAAGAAAAGCAATGGAAGATCTTGTAATTATGGGACTTGAACCACTGCAGAAATAAAACAAGCGTTTAGAACATTTCATTCTTTGCTTATCTACTGGGTATAGCTTAAATTTTTATTCCTGGCCATTTGCCTTTG